TTTGTAAATAAAACATGGCCCAATCGCTTTTGGAGGGTGGAACATTTTGGAAGGAATCTATCTTGATGGTGTTATGTGCTCCCGGTTCTCTTTCTATCTCTCTGGCTGCTGCTTCTCCATTTCCTTGGCTCTTTGTATTTCCTCTTGTTCCATACCCTAAACATGGGAGGGCCTCAAAATCAATCCCATCTCTGAACTTTTAGATTTTTTTTTTCTCTCTAGACTCTCTCAGGCAGAAATCTTATCCATTCTCACAAATGAGTACCAGATTGACATCTCTAGCCCTGAGCTCTGTCTCTCATCTCTCACTGCCTACTAGGCATCTCCTTTCTGATGTCCCCTTGACACCTTCCACTCACCATGTTGGAATCGAAGCTCATCGTCTCTCTCTCAGATCAGCTTCTTCTCCTCACCACCCTCTTTCTAGCAAGGTGTGAACGTTGTTCTTACAGTCTCCCTGGCTGAAAAACTGAGACATCTTTTGATTTCCCTTTTCTACCGCACTCTACATCCTGTCGGCCAAACAACAGGTCCTGTCCTGTCTTCCCTTTGTGATCTCCTTCATATTTACTCTTTTGTTTCTATTTCCTCTGCCACTATTCATGTACAGGCCCTCAACATTACAGGGCATTTCAGGCATGGCTACCATCTCCTCCCTGGTTTTTCTCCCTCCCTAATGTCACTCCCACAATTCTTCACACACACTGCTACCAATTAATCTTCCCAAAACACTGCTTTAAACCCAACTTGAAGTCTTTAAGGCTTCCACCTGATCTAACAGATGAAGTCTAGACCCCTCAACCTGGCATCCAAGACTTTCCATAGTGGCCCCTGTCCTACTTTCCAATCTGATCAATCTATCTTTCCCCTACACAAACCTTCTCTTCTGGCCAAGCCAATGTCCTCGCTATTCCTTACATCTTCTGTGCAGTTTTCTTTGTGATTTGGTTCCTTACTCACTTGGGCATGTTAATTAACGCCCCTAAGCCCCAGTTTTCTTCTCTGTAAAATGGGGATGGCATTTCCCTGACAAGGATATTGTGAGGCTCAAGTGAAATTGTGTATATAAAGGGCTTCCCCAAAGCTAGAATGCTGCACAAATGTTAGCTGTGAAAATGGAGAAGGAGGAATAATTGTGATGATAACATAGACTGGAAGAATATTATGATGGAACACTGGAATATAGACTCTGTAGCCCTGAAGAATATTTCTGGTCTCTGTGACAATCCATAGGGCCAAAGGAAGGCAGAGTAAATTCTAAGATCTTGGTATAAAAAAATGAAAACATTTACCCTCATTCTCCCCTCCCTCTGAAACTCCGATATTCCTTTATCTCATGATAATCTTCTATAATTCCATCTTTCCCTTAGTGTTATGACCCCTAAGCCAATTTTTCATCCCCACCTCGACCTCCATTCCCTCCCTACCCTCAGTTGTTTTACTGGCCATCACCCATTCAATGGTTGTACATTCATTCTTTCTCTACCTCGACACCTTTGTATACCATTTCAATGTTATGCCATTTTCTACTCCTGAATCCTTGTCAACCATCTTTCATTACCAAAGCTTTAGGCTACTCCCACTATTTGACCATTTCATTCCTTTTCATGTGCTGCTGTTTAAAGCAAGAAAAAACACCATGAAATTGTGCTGACTCAGCCCACTACAAATTTGTCTTACATCCTCTGTGACTTGGCCCCTCATTGCAGCTAGGCAATCCTTTTGCTGTTATTTGGTCATGTGACCCCATTTGGAGTTTTCTTAGCAAAGATACTGTGGTGATTTGCCATTTCCTTCTTCAGCTCATTTTACAGATGAGGAAACTGAGGCAAACAGGGTTAAATGACTTGCCCAGGGTCATGCAGCTAGTAAGTGTCTGAGGCTGAATTTAAACTCAAGTCTTCCTGACTCCAGGCCCAGCGCTCCATCCATTGCTCTGTTTAGATGCCCTGGCAATCCTTTTGTACCTCACTGATTGATTTGCTGTCTACTCACCCACAGGAGCTTTTCCCATCCTAGCATCAGACTTCATTATGAAACTGAAGCTGCTTTCTCCAAAGTTACCAATGATCTCTTAATGGTAAAATGCAATGGCCGTCTCTCAGTCCTTCTTCTTGACCTCTCAGAAGCTTTTGACACTGTTGAGCCCCCTCTTCTCTTGACAGTATCATCACTCCTGGTGTCCCTAGGACTGTTCTCATTCAGTCCTCTTCCGACTTGCTTTCCTTCTCAGTCTCCTTTGCTGGATCTTCATCCAGGGCAGGCCCCTAACTTTGGGTATCCCTCAAGACTCTGTCTAGGGACCCCTCTTCTTTTTGCTTCGTGTTATCTCCCTTGGTTGTCTTCTGAATTCCAATGGGTTCCATTATCATCTCAATGCAGATGATTCTCAAGTGTATACATCCAACCCTAGGCATTCTCCTGACTTCTAGTCTTGCATCTCTAACTGCCTTTTGGACATCTTGAATTGGATATTCCATAGATATTTCAAACTCAAAATAGTTCAGAATAGAACTTATTTTGTTTCCCCCCAAACTTCTCAGTTGCCCAACATTCTTGTTACTGAGGAAGGCATCACCATCCTCTCAGACACCGAGGCTTGAAAGCTCAGGGTCATCTTCAACTCTTTACTGATGCTAACCCCAAGTAGCCCATGTGTTTTCAAATCTGGCCTTTTTTTAAATCTTCATAACTCTCATACAACTGCCACTTTTGTATGTATCCCTAATTAATCTCCCAATGTCCGTTCTCTTTCTACTCCAGTCCTTCTTCCTGTCAGCTGCCACCACTTTCAGCCGAAGTTTCCTCATTTGTAAAGTGAAGAGGTTTGACTCAGTGGCCTCAAAGGCCCCTTCCAACTCTAAATCTGTGATCCTGATAATTATGTGGTTGAGTCAAAGAAGATATTAAAGGGAAACCCCCAACTCTGTACCCCATTTAGAGTAGGCCCACCTACATTATGTGAGTCATGTTGTAAGCTGGGCTGGCTTTGGGCCACATGTTTTGGAGCCAGACAATTTTCATTTTATCAATGCACAGAGCCCACCAAGCCCACCAGGAAGACTACCGTTAGCCATGCTGAAAAACAAACAAACAAACAAAGAAGGCTATTTTTTTTGCCAGTTTTTAATTTTTCCATTTGTCTTCTTGGAGAAAAAGAGTAGATTTCAGAAGTTCCTCCAAACAAAACAAAACAAAACTCCATTTCCTTAGAAAAGAATTTCAAATTCAATTAAGAAGAATTAAATAAATTTAAAAAAAAACAGGAATGACAACGTGTGCCTATTCTAAACCTAAAGAAAATTTGGACAGTTATAAAAAAGTTGTAATGTTCATTTTCAATTCATGAAAGTGGGCTGCACTGGCAGGGAGCAGGAGAGTTTCCCCAAGACAGCCCTGCCCTGGCAGAGGCACTTACTGGGAACCAGAATAGTGCAGTGGAAAGAGAGCTAGGTATGGAGTCAAGAGACTTGGGTCATACCCCAGCCTTGCCCTTTGTTAGCTGTGTGAACTTGTTCGAGTCTTACCCTGGCTGAGACTCAGTTTCCTCATTTATAAAATAAGGAAGTTTAACTAGACAGCCTCTGAGGTCCCATTTCACTTTGTCTATGAACCTAATAGTCACTGAGCTCATCTGGACCTCACTTTCCTCTTCTGTAAAATAAGGAAGTTTTACTCAATGAGCTCTAAGTCTAGGGCCCTAGTAGTCAGTCTCTCTAGGCCTCTGCTTCGTCATATGTAAAGTGAAGGGGCCCTCTTCACGCCACCTATGATCCAGATAGTAATTGAACATCTTCAGACCTCCATTTCCACATGTTCACAATGAAAGTGTTGGAGCAGATTGTCCGGGAGGCGCCTATCTCCAGACCTAAGAGCCCGATAGATACTTACCTCACCTCTCTAGGTCTCAGTTTCCTCATCTGTAAAATCGGAAGTCTTTCTGTCTCAAAGTTTTTGAGCCAAGTAGTCATTTCCTCATGTACAAAAGGAGGGGGTTGAAGAAAAGGATCTCTGAGGTCTCTTTAAACAGTAAATCCTTTAACCTAATAGTCGCTTAACCTTTCTGGGCCTGTTCAGTCATCTGAATAATGGCAGAGTTGGATTGGATGGCCTGTGAGGTCTCTCTTGCCTCTCGATCCATGACTATAATAATCCTTATCTTCTCTGGGCCTTGGTTTCCTCTTCTGTCAAAGAAAAGGTTGGGTGTGGTGTCCTCTGATATCCCCGCCAGCTCTAAATCTGGGATGTGTTATCTCTGAGGGTGCAATGTTAATTCAGGACCTTTGTTAAGTCTGTACCTTGTGACTCTCTGTGTGGTTACCCTGACCTTAGAAGCAGAACTCAGGTTTTGCCATGCTAATTAGACTAAAGTCCTTGAATCATCATCATCATCATCAATCATCGTCGTTGTTGTTGTTGTTGTTGTTATTATTATTATCTCAGGTGCAAAAGACCTTCCCCTCTAGCCACTAAGAGTGGAAGCTGGATCCTAGTAGAGAAGAGCTCTGTCATATTATTACCTTTTCCTAGGACTCTCCAATCCTTTTAAATTAATCATTTTCTTGGCACTTTTTCTTCATAAATGGTTCAATGTATGTTAAATAGATTTTAAAAGTTTTCTCCTGATCATACAGATTAAGGATTGCATTTTTTCAAAGTGATGAACATGGGCTAGGCCTCCCGAACAGAGATAAGAAGGGGTGAGAACACCAGTTGAAACAAGGGCTGGTTTATGAGGCAGAAAAGAACATCACTGAAGCTACATCTCTCTCTCTTGGCATGTCAATATAGATGTAATAAACTTCCCATAATCTCATTAGGGGTGGAGGTTATGAGGGTGTGTGAGCAAAAATTCTGACCTAAAAGCCCTGATGAGGAATTAATCATAGAAGGAAAATTATCTTAAATCAGAGGAAGGAGAGAGAAGGGGAGGTTGATGATTTGGGCATGATAATAAGATTTTTAAAAATCTGTTTTCTCTTCTTCCCAACTATATCCAGCCTGGCATGGCATTGACCTATGACCCCACAGCTGCTATACAGAATGGGTAAGTAGTGCCACATTTTCTGTTTTAAAATAATTTTTACTGATGTTTTCTATGATGTTTTAAAGCTCTCAAAATGTTATAAAGAAAAATATGTCAAAAACTTTTCTCTTCCATCTACCTCTGTTCACTCAAGGGTAGCAACAGGAAACCCTAGGCAAGACACTTCCCACTATTTTTGTTCTTTTCTTTCTTCCCTTAAAGTGTCCAAGATTCTAAATAATCTCTTATATCCCCTGATTTCATTATTTCCTAAGCCCATTAATCTTATACCATCTTTCTGAGTTGAAGCTGTGTGGGTAGGAATAGAGGATATGAAAAAGGGAATATCTAAGCTGAGAGGCATTTTCCATATAGATAACCAGTACTGACTGCTAATACCTTCATGGTCTTTCATGCAATCATTCTCAATTTATGTGCTAGACTTGGATTGAAGAAGACCTAAATTCAAATCCTTCCTTTGACACTTACTGGCTATAATATAGTTATATATAATATTATAACATATAATATAATATATGTAATATATACATATATACATATATATATATATATATATATATATATATATATATTATATATATAATTAACCCCTCTGTGCCTCAGTTTCTTCATCTATAAAATGGTGACAATAATAGCACCTCCTTCTCAGGGTTGTTATGGGGATCATATGAGCTAACATATTTAAAGTACTTTGCAAACTTAAAACACTATGCGAATGTTAACTATGTTTATTATTGTTATTGTTGTTGATATTATTATTATTAAATGCCCAGATTCCCCTAGTTGTTGTTGTTTTGAATGCTTCTTTTTCTTTATTCTGCCACTTTACTGAGAACCAAAGATTTATTTGTAATTTAGAGGGCTATGACAAATGAGTTAGCTTTATAATTACAGATGATATTATCGATACAATTAAACTTTCTCTGCTAGTCTTATCCTTCCTAGGGACTTATAATAGTCCTGTACTTTTCAGAAGCCAGAATGGAAGGAATGCCTTAAGAGGGCAAAGAGAAATGGTTCCTATGGATATTGAAACACCAGGAAGAGTGATAGGGAAAATAAAACCAGTCCCATTAAGGGAGACAGCAATAGTATGGTGGACAGAACACCAGAGTTGAAGTCACATGAGCTGGATTTGAGTATCAGCCAACTCTGTGACCAAAAGCAAGTCACCTTTCCTCTCTGAGACCCAGTTCAAATCTAAAATGAGAGGGCTGGCCTGGGAGGTGCCTTCTAGCTCTAGCACTTTTGAGATTGTGTGAGTGAAAGTGAATGATGCTTATTCATTCATTCACCAAGTACTCACCAAAGGCTTCTTCGGGTAAGGTACTGGGCTTGGAGTAATGGACATTTCAGAATATAGGATGCAGAAATATAGTTTTGTGGCCCCGGGGAGCTTCCAATTTACTTGTGGACACAAGCACACAAATAACCACCATGTAAGGTGGCAGGTGACAAGCGCTGGAGGAAGTAATGCTTTGGGAATTAATTTTGAGAAGTAGCTTAAGTTATAGCTAAAGTGACTTTGAGAGGTATGAGGGAAGGGAGGCTAGGGTTGGTCCTTGAAAGATGGATAAAAACGATAGGAGTTAAGACTCCAAGCAACAAACAATGGTGCCTGGAGAGGTATGATAGTCAGAATGCAACATTGTATATTTAGGATAATAGATAAAGAAATCTGGCTAGAGCACAAGATTTATAAACAGTAGGACTTAATGTAGTTGGAGTTAATATCAACTGCAGTTAATGCCAGTAGGATTAGTGTCAATTGACTAGCATTTATTAAGCACCTACTGTATGCCAGGCACTATGCTCAGTACTTTGCAACTATATCTCATTTGATCCCCACAACAATCCTGGCAGGAAGGTGCTATGATTATCCCCATTTAGTTGGGGGAAACTGAGGTTAGGGTCACACAGTCTTTAAGTATCTGAGGCCAGATTTGAATCCAGGTTTTCCTGACTCCAGGCCTAGCACTCTATTCACCAAAGCCACCTAGCTGACCAAATGTACTAAAAGTAAGGAGGATTAGAAAAGGCTTCCATTAGAAAGTGGGATGTCAGGTGAAGAAGGTAAAGAAAGCCAGGGAGGGCAAAAAATGGAGATAAGGAGAGAGAGCCTCATAGACATGGGGGATAGCCATCAAACACACCCAAAGTCAGGAGATAGAGGGTTTGTGTGAGAAACAGCAAGGAGCCCTGTGTTGCTGAATTATGAAGTAGGAGATAGGGATAGGTAAGATTTAAGAAGAATGGAAAGGTGTGGGGGGAGAGGGAGGGGAAAGTAAGGAAGGACTTTGAACACTAACCAGAGGATTTGATGCTGGAGGTGATAGGGAGCCCGGGGGTTGATTGTTTGGCGGTGGGGGGAATGACTTGGTCTCCTCTGAAGGGAGATCACTGTGACAGCTGATTGAAGGATTATAATGAGAAGAGAGGCCAACTTACCAACAGGCCATTACAATAGTCCAGGTGTGAGGTGATAAGGGCCTGAACCAGGGTGGGGGCAGGGTCAGAAGAGAGAAGGGCACATACGTGAGAGATGTTATAAAGGTGAAATCTATGGGACTCAGCTGTAAGTGGATCCTTTGCCATGTTAGTTATTTACAATGGGCTTATTCTTGAGCAAGAACCCAAGACTGAGCAGCCTCCCTGTGTACACAGTGTCTCTACCATCTGAGGTGTTTTATATGGGCGTTTGATGTTAGGCAACAGAGAAAGCTTTCTCTTAGAATGCTAGCTCTAAGTCCCATGTTAAGGATACTTTGGAATTACAGTAAAAGTGACGGATGCGTCATTAATACTGGGCTGTTGTGTTACCCTGAGGTTAGTATTCATGAGGCTGATTTTTACAATATTGCCTGTGGACATGAGACAGGAACCCAGGATGTTTATTTCCATGTGTAACTACCATTTAGTACAGTTTCTTTGCCAGAGGAGACATTCTACCCTGGGGTTATTGACATATTCATGTTATTTTTATTGTCAGTGCAATAAGATTTTACCATATTGCTACCGACTGCCAAATCCCCCAAAGATAACATTTCTGTCCACAAAGTAATGTTCTATTAGGGACCTCAGCTTGGAGTCTGTGGATTTCTGGAGGGCAGCCTTCCTAAATTCCAGGGAACCAAGGCACTTTTTGTATTTCCTTGACATTCAGAGTTCCCCAAAGAAGCCCTTACAATCTTCGGAGCTACATGTTCTAGTTACGTCTGATACCTTAGCATTAAGCATTCTATGTAACAGATGGGTAGGTGCTAGGTGGGTAGGGAACGGTGCAGATGGCTAGTATGCAGGACTAAGTTCTGGATTTGTAGTGAGGAAGACCTGAATACATATCCTGCCTCAGGCACCTCCTAGCTGTGTGACACTGGGCAACAGACATGAGCTCTCTTTGCCCAAATTTCTTCATCTTTGAAATGGAAATAGTAAGAGCACCTACCCACCAGGTTGTTAAGAAGATCAAATGAGATCCCATGTGTAAAGTGATATATAAATGTTAGCTATAGATAGAGCTATCTACTGCTATGGCGAGGCATCATAGCGGAAAGATAGAGAGCTGGTCCAAGAATCAATTATTCCATGGTTCAAAACCTATGAAACAATTGATTCTGTGACCCTGGCCGAGTCATTCAACATCTATGTCCCTCAGACTCAATTCAGTGAAAAGATCACTAGCTCTGGAATCAGAGTTACTCGGTTCTAATCCTGGTGCTTACTACCAAGGTGATGTTGGACAAATCACTTAACCTTGTTCAGACTCAGTTTCCTCACCTGTAAAATGGGGGGATGGTACAAAATGGCCTGTGAGATTCCTTGCTGCTCACGATCTTTGACCTTCTGGATTTTCCTAGTGGCATGGGTTCCCATCTGCTTTGGGGAGGAGTCGCTACACCAGGAAGCTGACAAAAAGCATAAAAAACTCTGTGCATTTGTGGATGTCAGGGGAGAAAAACGTCTTCCTGGAGAACCCAGCCATTGAGTGCCAAGTAGGATTCAGCCTCAGCTCCCAGTAATAGTATCTGCAAGGCACATTAAGTACTTCCCCATCCAAAAAGATAGCATCCTGCATTCCCACTTACACTGGCTTGGTTGTTTGAGGTAAAGAGTTTCGTCAGTCTTCTCTCTATCCCATCCCATGAAGCAAGGGGCCATGTGCTTTCAGAGTTTTATCAGTGTTGGTGGATAATTTTTCATTTGATACCTGTGTGAAAGTGCTTTCAAAAGCGTGACGGATAAATGGTGTGGGCACAGGGGAATGGAGAGAGATTGAGGAACCCATTTTTTCCACAGCCTCACAGAAGTCTGCTTCTGTTTATTTTCTTCAGATAACTCGCCTACTAAGCTGCTGATGAAATAGCTGTCCTTCATGCCTTGGCTTAAGCAAGCATTTCCTGAAAATTTGGCTAGTGTATGTTTGGACTTAGGAAGGGCTTATTTCCAAGACCTGGAATTAGAGGATCAAGATAGTGCAGTGAGTTGCTTCACCCCACTATGTTTTTCCATCTAAATGACTCTTTTGCCTCGGAGTGGCAATGTTTGAACTTTCCAGAGAGTGTGGAATGCCATTACTTGTCTGATGGATAGGATTAGAGCAAAGAGAACAAAAATGCATTAACGTTTCTCTCCAGGGTTCCCTTTCCTAGTATCATTTTACTGCTATGCTTTATTTATGTTTCTGTTATCGAGTTTCCCCACAGAATTTCCTGTAAACTCTGCCTGTCAATCTGTTCCTGACGGCTTTCATTTCTGAGACACCAATTGGTGCATTTTACAAAATAGACCATCCAAGGTGAAATATGATTAGTGATTGGCTTAGCAATGAATGACCTTATCTCAGGAGCAGCAGGGGATTTGACCCAGACAAAAGCCTCTGGGCCCAGCTTGAGGCAAGCGGGAAGTGTTTGGTATATGGACAAGGTCATCCCTGGGAGCAAGTCACCTGCCATGAAACAAAGCACATTGTAACATTCCTTGCCTCCTAAGTAATATGTCAAGTACATTACCAAAGAGGATGGTATAAATTCAAGTTTTGTTTTGTTTTGTTTTCTGAAGCAAAGGGTTGTGTTTCTTGAACCGTTTTAACACATGATATGCAAGGAATTTACCCCTAACAAGCCATGGGAGGCCCCATGATATAAGGCAAAGTGAGATGAATTTACAAAATGAGGCGTTTAGACTAGCTGACTACTTATATCACTGTTGGCACTAAATCTACGATACTATAATTCTTGCATTAGTCAATAAGTGTATGTGAGCTCCTCTGTGCCTAGCACTGTGCTACAAGAGCTGCCTAAAGACCACCAAGTAGTACAGTAGATAGAGTGGTGGACATGGAGTTAGGAAGATCTGAATTTGAATCCTGACCGGATATTTACTACCTGTTTGGCCTTGGGCAAGTCAGTTAACCTCTGTACCTCAGTTTCTTCATTTGCAAAATGGCCTGTAAGGTCCCTTCTAGCAATAAATCCATGGTTCTGTGGCCTTTGTTCCCTTTACTGGGTGCCTCCTTGTGCTGCTTACCCTCTCTCATTTCCGATAGGGCAGGGTAGGGAAAAGAGAGCCTCTGCCTTTAGGGAATGATTCTATCTCCTTTTCCCAAGTTCCCTGTTCTCCTTCTTTATCCTCCTCCTCTACATAAGCCCCTTCCTTTCCAGCCCTCAGGTTGTTTTGACTGACCTACTTTGGGCTCTCACTGAAACAGAGGCATTAAAGAAGACTCATTTTAAATTCCACCAGTTTGAGAGCTTCCTAAAGGCTCAGACCACTCACTAAGGGAAAACGAAGGCAGAAAGCCCTTGCTGAGTGGCTGTTTTCTCTGACTATAGCTAATTTCCTTTTCCCAGGGCTATTGCTTAATGTGGGATGGAGTGGACCCTCTCTACCAGGTAGTCAGAAGCATCAACACCCCTGCTATTTATTAAGGCATGATCTAGCTCTGCTTTTGGCCACTCCCCTTCCACATTCTTCCTTAGAAAAATTCAAAGACTTTTCTAGACACCAAAGCTCAATTTTTCAGTGACTAGAGAGACTTGTAAGTATAATGGCTATTTATAAGAGAGGTATAAGGCCTGGACTTGTGATTTCATTAATATAGGGCACTCCCAAGTGAGGGAATTTTCTCTGTCAACACAGTTTGGCCACCTCTCTGTTACTTATAAGCTTTGATAACTGCCTGGGGTATTGGGAAGTTAAGTGACTTGGCCAGAGCAACACAGTCGTAGGAATGACTTGAAATGAATTATGCCTATTACTGAAGCCAGGTCTTTAACCAGGCCATACTGTTTTTTTGTATCATTAAAATCTGATATTTCCATAACATTTAAAGGTTGCAAACCACTTAAAACCCATTGATGAGGACTGAGATCTAGACCCCAAAAAGGAAAAACCCTGGACTTTCCTATATGGCCAAATCTCTGGCATTCCCCTGAGGCTATAATCCCATCAACTGGCCTTTCATTGTGGCTATGCCCAATCTGTTACTCTTAACCTAGCCTAGACCTCCCTATGGCACCCCCCACACACTTCCCACCTTTAATCCTATCTAGGCTCCATTCTCCCTTGTCCACCCCTGGAGTTCTATTACCCCATAGATTACTTGGCCACTCCTAGATCCCTCCCGTAGTCTTTCTGTATATAAGGTCCATCTCATCTCCATTAAGATGCTGGGATTCTTCTAATCTAGCCACTACTCAGATTTTCACAATCTAGCTAACAGCCTGTAGATGCTTGGATATCTTAAGAGTCTAACTAATATGGCAAATCTTTAATAAACCTTGTTTTTGTCTGAAGGAAGGGTTGGGTCAAATTCTTTCAGGCAGGACCCGTGTTTCCTAATTTTGGGATTCCAGGACCCCTAATCTCTAGACCTCGTCACCATCATCTTGTCTGCACCTTACAACAGCCCTGTTGGGAAGGTGTTATTATTATTCCCATTCTGCATCTAGGAAAACTGAGGCTCACAATGTTAGGTGACTTGCCTGTAATCACATGCGAATGTTAAAGGCAGGATTTAAATTTGGATGTTCTTGGCTCAAGGGTCAGCCAACTATCCACTATATAAGTGATGCCCCCCCTTTATAAAACAGAAATGCATTCATTCAACACTCAGTGCCCCACATGGCATGCCCACATCAAAGAAGGTACTGTGCTCTATGAGCAAAGCAGAATTGCAGTAGCTCAAAAGAAAAGTGAGATATACAAATTTAGGGATACCTTCACTCCAAATGTCCACATGGACTATTTGTGCCTGACTTGTGGTAGAGCCTTCTGAGTTCACATTAGTCTGATCAGCCACATTGGACACATCGTACCTTGGCCCCAGTGTAGTGATGTCATTTTGGTCTTCTTCGAGAACGAAGGACAACAACCACTGAATGCCTGCTATGTATGGAAATCTGTGGTGGGGAGTGAGGAGAGGATTAGAAAGTGCAGCTAAGACATCGTCCCTGTCTTGATGGAGGTTACCATCTAATAGGGGGGAAGCTCTAATAGTGAAGAATTGTAAGGCGAATGGTAGACAAGTATCATAGGAGGTTTCCTAAGTTTAAGATAAGATTTTTAAGAAGAGAAAAGTATACCACCTCCCAGGGTAGCTGTGAGGTTCAGATGAGATCTTAATTATAAAGTATTTAGCACCATGCCTGGCACAGAGTCGGCACCATATAAGTGGTGTTGTTATTATTACAAAGCAAAGTGCTATGAGAAGTCCAGGGAAGCAAGTTGTTATTGGCCAAGAAAGCAGGAAGGTTTCATAGGAGAGATGATATTTCATTGGAGCTTTGAAGGTTGGGTAGGGATTTGAGAGACAGAGATAGAAACACAGAGACAAAACCAGAGAAGGGGGAAGGAGGAGATAGAGAATGGGTACATTTATTCAACTTTTACCTATGCCAGGCACTGTGCTAAGCAAACAAGTCAGACAGTTCTTGCCCTTGAGGGGCTTCCATTTTAATGGAGGAAAATAAGGCATAGGGAGTGTTAGAAAGCAAGAGAAGGCACACACACACACCCTTCCTAGTGCGCGCACACGCACATACACACACACACACACACACACACACACACACACACAGGCATGATGAGAAGACTGCCTCAAAGAGATGGCATGGCCCCAGCAAAATCAGGTAAAAGCTGCCCCATGACCGCTGGGAGACCTAGGGGCAGAGCTCAAGATTCCACTTGGAGGGAGATAAGGATGATGACCAGAGTGTGGTGGTTACCAGGAAGGAAAAGATGAAGAAAGTTATTCCATAGGGAACAGTATGAACTAAAATAGGATGTGAGACAGTGTAGTGCACCTCTATTTTGACTATAGCACTGAGCATGTGGAGGGGGATTCATAGATAATAATAATAAAACTGGAAAGGTAGGATGGTGGCAAGTTACCATACTGGAGTCCCATTGTTGCGAAAATAGTTTGGAGAGGAGTCACAGAGAAAGGTGCAGAAGTGACCTTAGTGGCAGCACCTGACAACATCAACAGGGATTGGGCAGATGGGGGGGAGGGCAGCAGAGCTTAGGTTTATATGGCACTTCAAGATTTACAGAGTGCTTTATGTGTTATCCCATTTGATTTAATACAGGAAGAGTTGACTTTTTTCTCCTCTCCACCTTCTGGTGGGAGAGCACAATAAACTAATCCAATCCAATACTGAGCCATAGGGATACAAAAAGAAAGAGTCCCTGCCCTCAAGGAGTTTACAATCTAAAGGGAGACATTACACAGAAGGAATCTGGAAAGGGGTGGGAGGAATACAGGCAGGCAGAGCAGCAGATACAGAGTGGAGCAACCCAGGCAGAGCCTAGGTTCTGCCCCCCTCTAAAGGAAAGCATTGGGAGGACTCTATCCTCCAATCTTCTGATCAGAGGGGAGAGGAGACTAAAGCAGGTGGTGTCAGGGCTTCAGTCAGCAGCATGGTGATGAGATTAGATCTGATGAGTTTCTTCTGGGAGGGGCATCTTCTTCCACGGAGTGGGAAACAGGCTGAGCAACTTTCTCTTGCTTTGGGGGGCCTGTTGTCATTGATTTCTGCTTAAAAAATCAATTCCCAGAGTCCCTTGGCTTTTTTTAAAAATTAATTAAAGACGACGTTATTCTCTGATTCTGGTGAGATTTTTGAAGATCAAGGTTTCCAAAGGACCCAAGTATTCTCTTCCTGCAGCTAATGGCTCCACACCTTTCCACACTCAGTACCTGGTACCTGGTACCTGAGGTTTGCGACGAGGAAGCCAGGGCAGGGGATGGGGCCCAGCAGTGCAGGTGGCTCAGGAATCTTCCTCTGTTCTTTCTGTTCGCAGATTTTATTCTCCACCGTACAGTATTGCAACAAACCGCATGATTCCCCAGACATCTCTCACGCCATTCATTGCTGCTTCCCCCGTGTCCACATATCAGGTATGTCAGCCTCACTTGCATCTCCAGGGGGGTCTCACTGGATAAGAAGAAGAGGTTTCCAAATGGACAGAGACAGAATAAATAGAATAAGGAAACAAAACATGCAAGCATCCTTGTACACTTCAGTTACACCTTATCTCCCAAGCATGTATAGCAGTCCTCAACTACCAGCAGCCACAAATTCCTCCTTGGGCAAGGACTTCAAGTATAATTCCCATCTTTTTCATTTAGTTCTCCAAGTCTTCCTGTTTTTGCTTGTGTTCCATTTACACCCTCTAAAGATTCTCTTGTTTTAGATAGCATTTATTCCTTGTCTGTTATTATTTTATCATTCCTTTTATGTTTTTTCCAGCTGTGCCTTCACTGAATGTATCATCACAACAGTGCTTCCCCCATCCATAAAAACATTTTTGTCCATATTCTAATAAAAAATTACCAATTTTAGTATATGTTAAATGCCCTCGTGAGCTGAGGCGACAAAGAAGGGTGAATTTGCAGATGTGATCATAGATAGTATCTGGTATGGGATAAAACGTGAAACTGAACTTTACTTCCAACTCCCAGGTCCCAAAGATCACCAAATGTGAGACAATAACAGATTTTCCAACTTTCTCCCTACCAAAAGGAATTTGTGGCAGTGGATAAGAGGAGACATTTTGTAACAAGGTTGAGAGAAGGGACATGCATGTCTGAACCTGTTAAGTGATACATTCTTTCTGACTTCATGTTCAATGTTAACTTCAAGGTCAGAACATGCATGTACGTGACTTTTACAAGTTTTCTAGTACTCATACATATTTACAGGTGTGCATATTACCATTCATCAGCTGGTGGGGATGGGTGGGATGGGACATAAAGAGATTGTTTCTAGCCATTTTCCCCTTCACTCTATAACATGTCATCTCAACCTTCTCTTTGCCGTGGTTGCTCTGGTAAAAAGTATCGAATGGCTACTACCCCATTTCTTCAGAGTATGACTCAGTGTCCAATTGGTAGAAGGTCATTGCCAAACTCTCTTCTAACCTCCTACACTATTCTAAAATAGTAAACCAAGACCTCAGAGGTTCTAGGCATGGAAAGGTAAGGACATCTCACCACCTCTATACCCTGGACCAGGTGGTCCACCTGTTTAATTCTCAATATGTAGGTAAAATGAATTGCAAGTGGAAAACATTCCCCCTCAAGATTAAAAAAAAAAGTCCTTATTATCTTTTTCTTCCATGGTCCTAGATATCTGACTTATCTGTGCTTATCCTGTCCTCCTAACCTATGCTTATTTTCTAAACAGTCCTACCTGTCCTCCTAAGAACATCCATAGAATTCTAGGCTGGATGTCTGTGTTCTTTTTTACTGTGTGCCTGCACATGGGCATGTGTGTTCTGAAGACATGGAAGGGTGTTCACCCTGCACCCTCATTGATCTGTCCATGTGGTATAGCGAATTGCTCCCTAATTCAGTCAAGTCACCCTCCATCCTGACCTTCCTCCATCACATTCCAGCTTGTCTCGACTGTTAGACCATCAAATGCACAACCATTTTTTTTCCTATGACCCCACGCCCACTCTCCAGATCCAGTCTTGTTCATTATTTACAGAGCTTATATTCTCCATAAATTTTTGTGAGTGAATAGAGGAGCCTTTTACTGTCATTGCATGATCGTGGGGTGACTGTGCTTCTAATTGCCTTTCCTTGGGACCAAAGAGAATATATACAGGTGTAATGCAACTTTATTCTCTGTGAGCTGGACAACATTTAGTATTTTCGTTCTGAGGCTGGCCAAGACCATCCATGATGTACCCCAAGGGCTATGAGAAAATGGCTACAAAGAACTGGTCCCACCTGGGACCTTCCCTAAGTGGAATATAATCCCAGCTTCCTAGTCTCCAAAGAGAAAAGTAGCAATGTGTAATGTAGCACCAGTTGCTTCTACTGGTAGCTTTTTGTATCTACAGCACATTGAGCGCCTCTCCAGCATCAGTTCAATGTCAAAATGTCTTCTGTGCTTTTCTACATGACAATTTGCTCCTATAAACTGACTTACTTCACTGGTGCTACCCTCAGGGGTCCAAAAGGAAAAAAAGAATTTATACAGTGCATGTCGTCTCTATTGTTGGTGCTTCCTATTCTCATTATCATAAGAGAGAAATGAATATTTTGCCTAAATTCAGATTATGCCCAAGACTCTGTCACCCTGTGAAAAGCTAGCTGGTTCCTAACAACTAAATCTCCAGTTTCTGTGTGATTTCATCACATCAACCAAGTGCTAAAGAGGCTTTAAAAAAACAACAACACAGGAAGAAGATTCCTAATAGAGCCTGGATTGATAGATCAAGAAAAGAGAACCTGCCTCCCTTCTTTGGAGAGGTGGGGGATTATGGGTGTGGAGCATTGCACATCCTATCAGACTTAACTCTTTCCTGTCAGAAAGCCCATGGGAGAGCAGGCATTGGCCATGTCCCCCGAATGGGGCCGCCTTGAAAAAGCGATGGGAAATTGTGTCTCTCTGAGCTTTATGTTCCACAATGTGGCAGTTTTTCCTGACTCAGTTGCCAATCCAATTTGACATAGCCCTCCATCTGCCCGCCCATTCCCACCATGGAGAACAAGGGACCAACCAGTAGCCCTGATCATTTATGGCCTTTAGCAAAGGGCCAGGGCACATATGCCATCCCTTCTGGAGCCAAACAGTGTGTGCTTGCCCAGCTTCATGGGGAATATGCCACATGCCATTCTCCTCCTCCACAGGGTATCATTTAAACTCTCAGTGGCTCAGTTTCTATAAAATGAGGGGATTAAGCTAGATGACCCTGAAGGCCCCATCTAGCTCTGTGCCTTTGCTCCTATCATCAGGTCACCATCTGTAACTATAATCTTCTCCTCGACCTACAACATTTCTTCCCAACTGCTTTATAACATTTATCTAAGACCAGTGTCCTATAAGACCATAGCTATGCATTGAAATCGCCAAGTTCTCTCTGTGGTTTTCTTGTCCTAACAAATGCCATTTGCCACATAGGTCCAGAGCACTTCATGGATGCCTCACCCACCCTACGTTATGCAGCCAACAGTAAGTGGAGACTCAGTCACCTGAGGCTAAATATTTGTGTTATCCATGCGGCGGGTGTGTGTTTGGGATGCTTTGAGATTTTGAGGAGACCTTGTTTCTTCTTCCTCAGAAATGGGAGCCTCTGCCCCTGAAAGGCTCCCCAAAGCATTGACAATAATTATCATAATGAAGAAAAGTGTATTGGGTGAAAGCAGCTAGGGCCTCCTCACTTAAAGACTCCCACCTTCGAGGCATGGGCAGCTCCTGCTTGGTGCAGGAGCTCAGCCCAGCCCAGGGCTGATTCTCTTGGCTCAGAATCAGAAGAAAAAGAGGCATTTTTGGGTTGCTATTGCGGTTTTCACTTTCTCCCCTTGAGTGCCTTTGCTTCCGCAAACTTGATTTGAGGAGAAGAGGGGAGAATGGGAGGGACAGATTGTAAGCACCATGGGCCAAAGACGGTCTTTTCAAAGCAATGCCTTAGGCATGTACAGGAAGTGGGCACTCTTTTTGGATAGCCTAGCAGTGTCTCATCTGAGCTTTTATTGGTGTGTTTCTTTGAGAAAAGTAAATCAGCATTTCACACAAAATACACACACACATACACACATTCACATGATATCCAACTTCTCTGTCACTTTATCTCATCATTCCACTACTAAGAGACATTAAAAAAAAATCCCCAAAGAATCTAGATTGATGTTGTTTTATGATATCAACTCCTCCTCCAGGTCCTTCAAGCTGAGGATACAGAGATACAGGACAGGCAGATTTAGATAACAGCACACTCGTGAGAGGCAATGAATGGGATGTAGGGAAAAGGTCTGAGGGCCAGGAATCAAGAAACCAATCTCAGTTGGGCAAGTCATGTAAACTCCTTGCGCCTTGGTTGTCTCAGTAAAGGTTCTGTATGTATTTTTATGTTTGTAGAATGTCTCACCTGACAGAATGTAAGCTTCTTGAGGGCAAGATCTGTTTCATCATGTTTTTTTTTTTGGCTATGCAATCAGGGTTAAGTGATTTGCCCAGGGTCACACAGCTAATGAGTATAATGTGTCTGAGGCTAGATTTGAACTCAGGTCCTCGTGACTCCGGGGCTGGTGCTCTGTTCACTATGCAACCTAACTGCCCCTGTTTCATCATTTTCTTTGGATTCCTCAGGGCCTCACAAAGCGCGTGGTTCCATTATAGACACTTCCTAGTAAGGTATTAAGTGGTTGATTAAAGGAGAAAATACCTATCCTTTTCTACACCTCCTTGCCGTGAAGATGAAATAAGAAGTCTGTGAGCCCTTGGCAAAGTACAAGGTGCTACCCAGATGAAAAGTTTTTAGGGTTATTGTAAATAATGAAAAAGGGTAGCTAGATGGTACAGTGGATAGCATGTTGGGCCTGGAGTCAGGAAGATGCATCTTCCTAAGTTCAAATCTGGCCTCGGGCACTTATTAGCTGTATGATGCTGGGCAAGTCACTTCACTCTGTCTGCCTCAGTTTCCCCATCTGTAAAATGAGCTGGAGAAGGAAATGGCAAAGCACTCCATTAGCTCTGCCAAGAAAACCCCAAATGGGGGTCATGAAAAGTCAGACATGACTGAAATGACTGAACAATTAATAGTAAAAGGCTCGTGAAAGAAATAGATGATAAATGTGATGGTTGTTGTTGCTTGTTTCGTTTTTCAGACAAAGTGGGTTCAAATCCTGTCTCTGTCACTTGGTACGTATGTCAGCTCAAACAAGTCCAGCCTCTCCAGGCCCCAGTTTTTTCCTCTATGAAATAAAGAGGTCAAACTAGGTTCCATTAGTGTTCGAAATCTGTGATCCTAAATCAAAACAAGATGGCCCCAGCAGACACACATACACCCTTACATAGGAACCGTACGCTAAACACATTTGTAAATATCCTCTGAACTCCAAGTGTTTCAAGTCTCGTTGTCATATCTCAGCTTTTCCCAAGAGTGTAGAATCCATGATTAACTGCTACTTATGATGTTTTGTTATTATTGTTTGAGGGAGGTGGGGCCTCTCTGCTTTCACCAGTATGCAGTCCCAATTTGGAAGCTTCCCTGCACTAATGCATAGGAGCAAAACTTCTGTAAATGATAATCCTGGAGAATTTACTGGACACACCGAGAGGTGACTTACTCTTTCTTAAGCACTGGTTTCACCATGTCACTCCACCATTCAATGACCTCCATCTTTCTGGGCATTTTCCTTGGCTGCCCCCAGCCTGAATGCTCTCCCTCCTCATTTCTGCCTCTGGGCTTCCCTAGCTTCTTTCAGATCTCAGCTAAAACCTCACCTCCTACAGGAAGTCTTTCTCAATCCTTCTTAAGCCTAGTGTCTTCCCTCTGTTGATTAGCTCCAATTTATCCTGTATAAAATGTATATGTAGTCTCCCCCATTAGATTGTGATTTCCTCAAGAGCAGGGGATTATCTTTCACCTTTCTTTGTATCTCCAGCACTTCTTACGGTGCCTGGCACATAATAGGTGCTTATTAAATGTTTATTGACTGATTGACTTATGGTCACTCAGCTGGGATCTGTCAGAAGCAGAATTTTAACTCAGTCTGACTAACTCCCTACTTTCTAACTCCCAACCTTCAAATACTGTTTCATAAGGAAAAGCCTGCTCTCCTCACGATGGTTATGATCACTTGGTTTGACTTTTTAAAGGGATGAGATGTGCATAGCTTAAGCATGTGAAAATCTGGAATTGTATTATACTAACATCCCTGGGCTCCCTCTTCCTTGCATATTTTGGGGGCTCACTAGGTCTGTCTGGTTTGTGTCCTGGAAAAGCTTACCCATAAGCTACAAATTCCATTGACGAATCTCCATCCAAGTCCTGAGCTCCTTCCTCTCTGGTGTGCGCAGCCAGACCAATGTATAGCACCAAGTGGGCCCACACAGGAAAGAGGGCAAAAGTCCCGCCAACTCAGAAAAAGGAGACAGGCTTGGAGGAAAAAGATCCCTCCTGAGAAAATAACGTACCTCTCTCCAGAATCCTAATGAAAACGCCGTCCTTGGACTCATGTTAAATATCTTTTACTCACTGCCAACGGGAACACGCACTTTGGGCAAAATCTGAGTATTTTGCCAGATGTCAAAGTATATAAGCTTCACATGTGCTCTGGAGCTGTTGTGGGGTGGAGGGACTGAGTCATGTGCACATTTATTTCGACCCTCAGGACCTTGGAAATGTTTCCCAAGTCTATCCCCCTACAGATGCAGCTGCAGGTGTACCGGTGTTTTTCTTCACAAGCTCCCCCAACACCAGCCTCCATTTGTGTGTGGTTCCGTTTGTTCAGTCTTCCCCAAGGATCCTTCTAGCCAGGAGTCCAGGCCCTTTCTATCCTGAGATTGGATGGTGTGTCAGGTTGGAGCTGAGGCAGCTTAATTCGGAATCAAATTTTTGTGGTTGGGGTAGTTTTACTGCAAGGAGGAGCAGCTGGCCCACCCACCATTTGCTTATCTTTAAAGCAAGAATCCTGGGAAACTCAGTGGCTCAGTGGGCTAAACAGTAGAGTTGAATTCAGAGGCTGTTACCATGGGTGGACCGTGAACTTGGGTGCTGCCACTGCCCGATGGGTACATTGCTCCATTAACCTCATCTGACTGTTTTGAGTTTCCTCATCCATTAAGTGGGAGAGGCAAACGTTTGTGGAAGGACAAAATTCAGAAGATTACTCCTCTAACCTCAATAAAAACAGGAAGGCCAGAGAGGCCCCACCCCAAACCTCAAATACCAACTCCACAACAAGCCCCCATGAGCATACCATGCCATGAATTATTCAGAAAATTGAGCTCGTGTTCTAATGAAGAATGTGGAAAGTTTCCACATTCTTCCAAGGCGTCGTGGGGCACGAAGGGTGAGAATGAACCAGAGTTACAGCTGTTTGGTCCAATCCGTGTGCTTACATTCTCCCCCCAAATATGAACATGGTGAAGGCACAGATTCACTGGCTGTGCTCCCTAATTGTACCTTCCAACCTTGCTCATCCTCTAGTGTTAGGGTAATGACAAGGCTTCTAAGTCCCTCTTGCTTTCCCTGGAGAATCATTTAGCGTCAGCAAACTTAGGTGGCTCAGCAGCAAAGCTAGTGCCTAAAGAAACATTTCAGGGGTCTGTCGGATACCTCTACACTCCGATGATCCTGTACTGAACAGCCATGATTCTTCTCCCAGTGAAGCGGTTACAAAACTTACCTCTTCCTCACACTACCTCTGTGAGGGATTGGAATAGATGGGATCCACGTGACATATTTCTTTTATATGATTTTTCCCCTCTTATGTTTCTCCATCCTCCCATTTTCAGAATATACTTAAGAGTTTATATGTAGGGAGTGAGAGAGGCAGGGAGGACTCCACCCTTGGGCATGGAACCAGCAGTTCTGGTGTTAACCAAAGCTATTCCTGGGCTCTGCAGACATCAGGTGCCCTCAAAGCAGGAGGGAGAGCACGCTCCTTAATATACACTTTTCACATAAAAGAGGCCGTGGTTTGTCTTCTGATGAGCCAAGCAAAGGGTTAAGAAGGAGGAAGAAGCAGCAGCTCTGATGCCACTGACTTAGACTGACCAAAAGGGGACTAAATCAGTTTTAGTTCCATCCAGCTGGGAGGCGATGGGAATAAAAGGGAGATCCGAATGCCACTACCCAATGCTCATTCCGCTTCTCAATGAGCCACACATATTGCTAACCCTGTTTAAAAAGTGGTGAATAAAGGGTTATCTTTAAAACAACAACAGCAAGAGATAACACCTGTTGTTCTCCTCCAATGCTTCCCATCTCCTACTTCCCAGTCTAGGCAGCAAGGCGGTGCAATAGGTAGAACTCTGTGACGGGAGACAGGAAGACCTAAGTTCATATCTGAACTCAGACACTCACTAGCTAGCTGTATGACCTTGGGCAAGTCATTTATCCTCTGTATGCCTTAGTTTCCTCATCTGTAAATGTAAAACATTGTGCAAGGCACTGGGCTAAGCCCTGGAGATACAAAGAGGAAAAAGACAGTCCCTGACCTAAT